TAAATAAATAAATAAAGTAAGTATGTAAGTAAGGGTTGCTGCAGGAAATGTATTTTTCAGGTCTATTGCAGTCCGAATTCCCAGTCTCTGGTGATAAGGGACTATTTTCTTGCCATGTCACCGGGAGAAATCTTTATGGCTTGCTGTATGCAGGAAGAGACAGGTCAGCTAGGCCTTTCTGAAGCTACAATTTCCCCAGTGTTTTCAATTTAAAATAATTAATATACCAATTCAGTGTATTTTGGGATAGCATGTCTTCCACTCCTTTAACTGCCATTATGGTTTTGGGGGAATAATCCCATAGAGGTGAAATATTTTTATCACATCAGAGATAGGTGATATCAGCATGACTTAACACTGATAACGTTAACCTTCCTGACTTGTTTAAGGTGATGTTCACCAGGCTTTTCCACTGTATAGATTGTTTTTCCCATTCTATACTTTGTTCTTTGGAAGCAAGTCACTAAGTCCAGCCCACCCTCAAGTGGGAGGAGAGGATTAAGCTTTACCTTCTGGTGGGTGGGTTTGGGGGTAGGAAAAGTGTTCACAGATACCACCTGGAATTCTTCTGTAAGGAAAGTCTGTTTCTTCTCCCACACTTATTTACTTCATCGCCTGTTTTCATCAACATGGACTTGTTTATATTTATTTCATACTTTGGGTTATAATCCAATATGAAGGTCTTCAAGAAGTTTATGGAAACTATGTATTAATATTATGAAAAAACTAAACATGGATTTCAAACTTTTTTTTTTGCATCAAAATATACTCATAGTAACATGTTATAACACATATGAACAGAATCTAGTTTGAGGCATTAGGAAAGATAAGACATCAGTTTGAAAAGAGCCCCTATCAGAACAAAGTGGATTCTGCTAAATTTGAAACAGGGACAAACATTCAATTTGTGGAACAGGAATAAACATCAAATTGAAGCTTGGGTGGAAGAATGGTGAAATCATTGATGCTTTGTGAAAGATTTATAAGGACAGTGCCCCTAAGAATCAGCAGTTTACAAATGGATACCTTGTTTTAAGAAGGGACAAGATAAGATAATGTTCAAAATGAAGCCTGCAGGGCAGACTACCCACATCAATTTGCAAGGAAATATTTCATCTTGGTCTTGCCCTAATTGAAGAGGACTAGCAATTAATAGTAAAAACAATAGCCAACCCATAGACATCTCACCTGACTCAGCTTACACAATTCTCACTGAAAAAGTAAAGTTAGAAACTTTCTACTTGATGAGTGCCAAAACCATTGCTCCCAGATCAGCTGCAGACAAGAGCAGAGATTTCCATGGAAATTTTAGATAAGTGGGATCAAGATCCTGAGGCATTTCTTAAAAGACATATAACAGGAGATGGAACATGGCTTTACCAGTACAATCCTGAAGATAAAGCACAATCAAAGCAATGGCTACCAAGAAGTGGGGGTCCAGTCACAGCAAAAGCAGACCAGTCAAGAGCAAAGATCATGGGAACTGTTGTTTGGGATTCTCAAGGCGCTTTGCTTGTTGACTTTCTGGAGGGCCAGTGAACAATAACATGTGCTCATTATGACAGTTTTCTTTTTTTTCTCTTTGAGACAGAGTCTCGCTCTGTTGCCAGGCTGGAGTGCAGTGGCGCAGTCTCGGCTGACTGCAACCTCCACCTCCCAGGTTCAAGCAGTTCTTCCACCTCAGCCTCCCAAGTAGCTGGGACTACAGGCGGGTGCCAAATGCCTGGCTAATTTTTGTATTTTTAGTAGAAATGGGGTTTCACCATGTTGGTCAGGATGGTCTCAATCTCTTGACCTCATGATCCACCCACCTTGGCCTCCCAAAGTGCTGGGATTATAGGCGTGAGAAAGTTGGCTAAAGCTTTAGCAGACAAATGCCTAGGAAAGCTTCACCAGAGAGTCCTTCTCCACCACAACAATGCTCCTGCTCATTCCTCTCATCAGACAAGGGCAATTTTGCAAGTCTTTTTTTGTTTTTGAGACAGAGTTTCACTCTTGTTGCCCAAGCTGGAGTGCAATGGTGTGATCTTGGCTCACTGCAACCTCTGCCTCCTGGGTTCAAGTGATTCTCCTGCCTCAGCCTCCTGAGTAGCTGGGATTACAGGCATGCACCACCATGCCCTGCTAATTTTGTATTTTTAGTAGAGACAGGGTTTCTCCATGTTGGCCAGGCTAGTCTCGAACTCCTGACCTCAGGTGATCCACCCACCTCGGCCTCCCAAAGTGCTGGGATCACAGGGCATGAGCCACTGTGCCCGGCCTTGCAAGTGTTTCTATTGGGAATCATTAGGCATCCACCTTACAGTTCTGATTTGGCTCCTTCTATTTTTTTGTTTGTTTGTTTGTTTTCTAATCTTAAAAAAATCTTTAAAGGGGGGACCCATTTTTTTCTTCCACTAATAATGTAAAAAATGTTGCATTGTCACAGTTGAAGTCCCAGGAACCTCAGTTCTTTAGGGATAAACTAAATAGCTGGCATCATCACTTATAAAAGTGGCTTGAACTTGACGGAGCTTCTGTTAAGAAATAAACTTTGTATTTTTTGTTTTCATCTTTCAATTGCACTTTTTCCATGAACCTTTTGAAGTCCCCTTATACTACTCTGCTTATTGCATGAATTGTTTCAGTTTTGGCCAGTTTTGGTAGCTTTTTCATCTTGGCTGCTGTGTCTCTTTGACATGCACCCATCCTCTGTTCTGGTTTCTGTTTGTTCATTGTTTTGTTTTGTTTCATTTTTTCCTTTGAGATAGAGTCTTGCTCTCTCTCCCAAGTTGGAGTGCAGTGGTGTGATCTTGGCTCACTGCAATCTCCACCTCGTAGATTCAAGCAATTCTCCTACCTCAGCCTCCCAAGTAACTGAGATTACGGGCACCCATCACTACACCCAGCTAATTTTTGTATTTTTAGTAGAGATGGGGTTTTGCCATGTTGGCCATGGTCTTGAACTTCTGACCTCAGGTGATCCACCTGCCTCAGCCCCCCAAAGTGCTGGGATTACAGGTGTAAGCCACGACACTCGGCCTGTTGGTTTTTTAGTGCTTCCTTACTTTCTTAGGCTACAAGATGCCCCAGGCTCATCTTATGCTTTCCCTGCCTCAGGTCTAGAATCAGCCATTTATTCAAGGAGCCCAAACCAGTAATTTTTTTTTTTTTTTTTTTTTTTTTTTTTTTTCCAATAACATTTATTAAACATCTTTTTTTTTTTAGCAATTGCACAAGATATCCTCATACTGTCTCATTTTAGCTTAACA